GATGAACATCTTTATTGCCAGCTACTTGAGAGGCTAGGGCAGGAGGATCACAAGCTAGAGCCCAACCTGGGTAGCTTAGCAATGTCTTGTCTCAAAAAATAAATAGGGCTGGGATGTAGCTCAGTGGTAGAGCGTTTGCTTAACATGCACAAGGTTCTACTTCCCCAGTACTGAAAAAATACCATACAGTATCACTTAGCAACAGTACTGAAAAAAATACCACACAGTATCACTTAGCAATCACAGAGTAAATGTAAACAAAAGCCATGACGGGCTATCAGCTATCAGCTCACACCTGTTAGGATACCTGAAGTAAAAGAGAGAAGAGAGGACCAGCGTGGGGAAGGATGAGAAGGGGGAGCCATTGCACACAGTTGGTGGGAATGTAAATAAATACAGTCAGTATTGAAAGCACTAAAGAGGCTTCTCAGCAAATTAAAAATAGAACTACTGCATGATTCAACAGTCCCACCTCTGGGTATGTACCCACAGGAAATGGAATCAGTATCTCCAAGAGATATCAGCATTCCCAGGTTCGTTGCTGCATGATATCAAGGTAGGGGCGAATCTAAGCATCTGATGATGGGAATAAGCCGGTCGGGGTGGTGCACGCCCAGAGTCCCAGCACTCCGGGTGGCTGAGGCAGGAGGACTGCAATTTTGAGGCCAGCCTGGGCCATTAGAGACTTGGTGAGATCTTATCTCAAAAAGAAGGTGGAGGAGGAGAAGGAGGAGGAAAACAAAGATGAGGCAGAAGAGGAGGAGGAGGAGGAAAAAGAGGAGGAAGAGGAGAACAGGGGCGGATTTCCCATTAATGATAACATAGACAGACCTGGAGGCCATCATGTTAAGTGGAATAAGAGAGACATGGAAGAAAACAACGCATAATGTGACTTAGAGGTGGTACCTGAGAAATGACAGTGGCACCTACCAAAAGCTGAAGGGCAATGGGAACCTTTTGTGCTGCTACGGTGGCACGGGTCCCAAGCTGACTGCCTCGGGGCTCCATCACAGAGATGTCCCCCACAGGACATGAGGCTACATAACCTCCTACCACCTCCAAGCATTGTGGCGGCTGGTAAAGGCTTAACAGTGGCTCTCCAGGAAAGGAAGCTGCGGTGCATCTGTCGTGTCTGCCAACTTGTTTGTTGGTTAGCTTGAGACAAGGTCTCACTGTGTAGCCCCAGCTGACCTTGAATGCACTATGGATGCATTTATTGGCTATCTTGTTAGGTATGTAATCATCAGTTTATGGAATTTAAATAATTAATTAACTAATTTATTTGTTTTGTGGCTGGCTCATCCCGCCTTTGGGGTGCGGCTGGCGTGGTATGTGGTGCCAGGGATCAAACCACGATTCCTGAGTGTGCTTAAGCTTGCCTAAGCAGGCACTTTAGACCTCTGAGCTACCTCCCTGGCCCTGGAATTTAATTTTTTTAAAAAAAAATTATTTATTTGTGTATTTATTTTACTTGGTACACGGTCTTGCTACACAGCTCAGACTCAGAGTGATACTCCTGTGTCAGCCTCCCCCAGTGCTGGGAGTACAGGCATGCACCATCATGCTGGGTTTTGGTGGCCAGAGTGGCACTTGGAGCCAGCACAGTATGCAGTACTGGAGATCAAACCCAGGTCCTTGCATTTGCCAGGCAGGCACTTAGACCACTGAACATCTCTACAGTCTAGAATTTAATTTTGTTTTTGTTTTTTTTTTAATTTATTTATGTGTGTGTGTGTGCGCGCGCGCGCGTGCGGCCAGCTCAGCCCACCAGGGGGCGGGGCTGGCTGGCATGTGGTGCTGGGGGATTGAACCGCGGTCCCTGTGCTTTGCTAAGCTTGTTCTAAGTAGGTGC